CCATACAGCAGTTCACATATACTTTGTCTCATGTCATTGACCACAGTTTACCACAATGCAACAGCTCCCCTCCCACTTCCTCCCCATAGTTACCTCTTCTGTGTCCTTCCCTCCCATGCACTCCTGTCACTGAGCTGTCTCCCTGTGCATACACAGCTCATCTATTCTCCCATGACTAATCTCTCCCAGGAGTGTATCTACCTAATGAAAATGTTCAGCTCATATGCCTGTCTTTTGTGTGAAAGCCACAGAAGCGGGTTCAATTCCAGACCTGAAGAGTACCTAGGGGCCACAGTCTCAGTGGTTCCATCAGGGTCTATCAGACTAGCAAGCCTGGTCTCTCTCTCTCTCTCTCTCTTTTTTTTTTTTTTTAAATGATTTTGAGTTTTGTTTCACATAGTTCTTCCTCTCTATCCAGGATCTCCGACATAGATCCCCCTCTGAGTGTTTGACAGTGATAGCCGGGCATCATCTCGTTCTTCTGGGATCATCTTCCTTTTGAATGATGATGAGTGAGCACCTCCAGCATTGCATGCACTTGTTGCAACATTTCAATTGGTATTCTATCAATTCCTGGAGTTTTTTTTTTTTTTTTTTGCCAATGTCTACAGTACAGGTTGGACTTCTTCCTTCAATATCATTGGTTCCTGCTCAAATGCTACCTCCTGAAATGATTGAACATTAAGTATAGTGTCTTACAGTTGATTTAAGAAAAAAAAAAAAATCAAGTATACAATGACACTAGACATGCATGACTAAAATCCAAGAAAACACAGTCAATAAAAATGTGTCAACAAAGGATCTTGATAATGGAGTTTTTTTTTTATGAGAAAAATAAAATAAATCAGATGCATTATTTCGATAGAGAATAGGTAGGAATTTCTCCTACACAAACTACAGCAAGTTACACTTTTAAAAAGTACTGCAAGTCTCAAACACATAAATATATAGACAATAACATCTAGGCATATTACTGTACAACTGTTGAAAGAAAAGACAGATAAATTTTAAAGGAGTCACAGAAAAATAAGCACGCTGTCTTCAAAGGTACAACAATTAGATTGACAGCTCTCTTTTCAACAAAACAATAGGAAGCCGACTGTAATAAATACCTTCAAATGCTAATAGAAAGTAACAGCAACTTAGAATTCTATATTCAGTGAAAATGTCCTTCAGATATAAAGGCATTTTGCAACAGAAATTGTCACCTGCAAAGTCATACTAAAATAAATACAAAAGGGTATTCTTCAGTCTGAAGAAAAATTATTATAGAGTGAAAATTAAAGGACAGAAGGAATAAAAAGCAATGAAAAGAGTAAATACGTAGGTTAATATAGATAAATACTAACTCTGAAATCACAATGATCAGCTGTTTCAATTATATAAAGAATTTAAGTCAATAACATCAATATCATACAAGTCAGGAAGGGAATAAAGGGAGTTAATTTTGTAAGTTCTTGCCTTGTCCAGGAAGTTATGTGAGTACTAGTTTATATTACCTTTTAATAAGTGAAATAGATGATAAAAAAGTATACCAATTGTAATCTCTAGGATATACTAAAAAAAATAGTAAAATGATGTATTATGAGCAATGTTCTGATAAATGGCACAATAAAACATTACAAAGAGAAAAATGAAAAAAAAAACATGCTCAACAAATAAAAAGCAAATAGCAAGTCAGATTTAAAACCAAATTTATCAGTACAGGTATGTGTTACTTACTGTTCATTTGGGCAACATCTAACCATATATACACCTGTGGTTCTATAGTTTTTCTTTTTTTTTTTAAGAGAAAGTAGTTCTCCTTTTATTATTTTCCTGTAATAGTTTTAAAGACCCCAAACACAGACTCTTGCAGCATTGGACCATGCAGGCAGGTGAGGCAGAGGAAATGCTCTGGGCACAGACTCTCAGGATTTGTCTGGTGGGCGGTGGCGGTTGGTGAAGGGCCTGGGCTGTTCCTGCTGCTCAGGCAGGCTGAATAATAGATGAGGCTGCGTATGCTCCACTCCCTCCTCACTGTCTTCCTCTTTCTCTGCTCCCACCTTTTTAACCACTGCTGCTGCCGCCACCCACTCCTGCAATCTCCACTAGCATTTTCAGTAGCACTAGCAGTAGCATGGTGGCTAAGGCACTTGACTGCTAACCAGAAGGCTGGCGGTTCAAACCCACCAGCCACTCCTCGGAAGGCAGATGGGGCAATCTACTTCCGTAGTGATATTGCCTTGGAAACCCAAGGAGGGGTCGCTAAGAGTCGGGTTATGACTCGATGTCACATAACAACAACAACAAAAAGCAGTAGCAGCAGCAGTGACAAGTACAACTGGAAGTGGGCTTCCCTAAGTTTTTAATATGGTGTTTGCACAACATCCAAATCACATAACATCCTATTTCATGGAATGTATCAATGGCCATCAAGCAAAACATTAACTGCATTAAATATAAATGTACTAAATTCTGCAATTAAAAGACAAAAAATGTTAGGCTGGATAAAAACCATACCTCAATCATACACTGCTTTAAAAAAATCACAATTTAAATTTTAGAAAGGTGATGTGGCTGTATCAACATCCAATATACTACATTTTATGTCAAAAAGCAGCACTAAAGATAACTAGCAATGTTTTGTTCTGTTGTACATAGAGTCACTATGAGTCAGAGCTGACTTGATGGCATCTAACAACAACAGATTAAAAGAGACATTTCATAATGCTAAAATTTCAATTAATAAGAGTATAATGATTCCCAATTTGAATATATGTAACAATAAAGACTCAAAATATAAAAGCAAAAACTGATAGACATAGAGGGAGAAAGATGAACAATTTTCTGGAAGATTATAACATGCCTCTTTTAGTATCTGATAGAATAAAAGTTGGTAGTTAGAAAAGTCAATAATATAAAGGATTAGAAAAACAATTTTAAAAGATTAACTTGTAGAGATCAGGAAGGGAAATGGGTAACAACACAAAAATCCAACTATATTTTATCTTCTAAGAAAGCAAACAATTATGAAACACAAGACAACTGTGTTTCATTGAGAGGAAAATAATTACAGGTTTCGAAATCCACTTTAATTAGTCCCTTTTCAAACAGAAATATGTAAGAAAGTAGTTTTCTGTGGACCAGATTGAGGATCCAAAGTACTGTCATCTACATAGTTCCTATGGCTCAGTTCTATGATCTTAGGACCAGGTTTAAGGTGATGAGTAGTCTATGGGGCTACTACGTATATAATTAATAATGTTTTGGCTGTAGGTTGGAAGCATTGGTATACTTGCTGGGTGTGAGGTACCTACTGTCACAGGTGGGAATTATTAAATGAGGGAACATGTTGGTTGTCTAAAGAAGATAATATTCAAGAAAGCTTGTGGTTCTATTTCACCAATCTCAAAGTCAAATTTTAAGTTCCAAATTTTGTTTTCCAAGTTTCTAATACATACTACAAGTAATAAATAATAGTGACTTTTCAAAGGAAAATAAGTAAATAACAGTTGTTTTTAGTGGAATCTGTTCTGTCTTTAGTGTCAATTTTCAATTTTTACAAAAATTTCTGGTTTCTTTCATTATAGACCTGAATTGCCTATAGCTTGCCTTGATGTCAGTGTTCTCAGAGTGTTTAGACAATGAAAAAAATTTCTCACCACTCACTATGATTTTTTTTTTTTTTTTGGTTAACAATGAATAGTTTTGCTACCCAGAACATGAAAACTCAAAAGCCCTGAGTTTATAAAGTTACATATTCAAAAAGTGAAACAAAAAAATATTGCAAGTAATCTATCTGCATATGTACTTCTATGATTCACAAGGGCTCGACAATCCCAGTATTTAAAATAACCAAGTATGGCCATTATGCATTGCTTACACATTTTCTCCAAACTGTCTCCTTCCCTATATGTGTAACTGTACATCAGCTATGGGATCCACATAGTCATACTTCTAGCAAGAGGAGAGTTGGCCTTGATTACCTTTTGCTTCTCAATCAAACTGTAGCCTCTCATATCTTTATATCTCCACACCATGATTACGGTATTGGACAGTTTACTTCCCCAGAATCAGATTTCTGAAGCTTACTCAGTTGTGGCTTCCAGTTTAAGGCTTTCCCAAAATCAATACATTTATAAGCTTTCTGTTTAGTATGAATTTTCTGGTGTTTAATCAGATTTGATTTGATGGTGAAGGCCTCTTCACATTCAGCACATATATACGGTTTCTCTCCTGTGTGAATTTGACGATGTTCATGGAGGTGTGATTTCTTAATGAAGGACTTCCCACAGTCACTGCAGTCATAGGGTTTCTCTCCAGTATGAATTCTCCTATGTCTATTTAAGTGTGACTTCTGGATGAAGGACTTTCCACATTCAGCACAAATATAGGGTTTTTCTCCTGTATGAACTCTCTGATGCATAATTAGTGTTGATTTTCTTGCAAAGGCTTTCCTACATTCACTGCACTCATAATGTCTTTCTCCAGTATGAGACTGTTGATGTATATGGAGGCCTGACTTCCGAGTGAAGGCTCTTCCACAGTCACTGCATTTATAGGGTTTCTCTCCAGTGTGAATTTTCTGGTGTGTAAAGAGATTTGACCTGTCAGTGAAAGCCTTTCCACATTGAGCACATATATAGGGTTTCTCTCCAGTGTGAATTTGTTGATGTACATGGAGTTGTGATTTCTTAGTGAAAGATTTCCCACAATTACTACATTTATATGGTTTCTCTCCAGTATGAATTCTTTCATGTGTAATAAAATGTGACTTGTGGAAGAAGGCCTTCCCACATTCAGTACAAACATAGGGTTTCTCTCCTCTATGAATTCTCTGATGCATATTTAGTGCTGATTTCTGGATGAATGCTTTCCCACATTCACTACACTCATACTGTCTCTCTCCAGTATGACATTTCTGATGTATCTTGAGCCGTGACTTCCAGGTGAATGACTTTCCACAGTCGCTGCATTTATAAGGTTTCTCTCCAGTATGAATTTTTTGGTGTTTAATGAGATTTGACCTGTCAGTAAAAGCTTTCCCACATTCAGTACATTTGTAGGGCCTCTCCCCAGTATGAATTTTCTGGTGTATAATGAGGTTTGTTTTGTGGGTTAAGACCTTCCCACATTCTGAACATATAAAGGGATTCTCTCCTGTGTGAGTTCGCTGATGCACAAGGAATTGTGATTTCTTACTATAGGATTTTCCACACTCACTGCAATCATAAGGTTTCTCTCCAGTATGAATTCTCTCATGTGTAATAAAATGTGATTTCCAGATAAAGGCCTTTCCACATTCAGTACAGACAGAGGGTTTTTCTCCTGTATGAATTTTCTGATGCGAACTTAGTGTTGATTTCCTTGTGAAGGCTTTTCCACATTCAGTACATTCAAAATATTTCTCTCCTGTAAAACATTTTTTGTGTATATTGAGGTCTGAATTCTGAGAGTTTTTCCTACATTGACTGTATTTATAAGGTTTTTCTTCAGTATCAAAACTCTGAAATCTGAACAGATCTGACTCCTGGATAAAGGCTTTCCCAAATCTATTGCATTTATAGTGATTCTCCTCAGCATAAGTTTTCTGACAGTTTGAATCAAGGGAAAATTCCTTCCCATATTCACTACATATATAAGGTTTCTTTCCTGCATAAAGTTTCTCAGTTAACCCAAGTTGGGGCTTCTGAGTGAAGATTTTCTCACAATTACTGCATTCATGGTGTTTTTCTTCAATACAAATATTTTGATGTACATAAACATGTGACTTCTGAGCGAAAGTCTTTATATAGTCAGAAAATAAAATGCTTTCTTCAGTATGAATTTTCTGATGCTGAATGACAGCTTGGTTATGACTCACAAGTTTCTCGCATTGATTACATTCACAAGCATTGGTTTCTGTTTGAGAAGTCACATGAATAAAATTACCACACTCAACAATCTTATCAATTTTTTCTATTGTACTGTTTCTATTATGATTATGTAAGTTTACAATAGGCTTCAAACTCTTTCCTAATGAGTCACAGTTATGGAGTCCTTTTCTTGAAGGAATAAGGTCTGTGTTTACATAAGCTATGTTTTCTATGTCCGTATATTCAAAGCCTCTCTCATTAGTTAAGATTTTCTTGTTGATGAAGGCAACATGATTTAAAAGTTTGTTTTGGTTTTCCTCATATCTCCCTGCCCACTCATCATCTTTCCACAATTCTTGTAAAATAGATTTCAATGAGTCATCTCTTGTGAATTGATTAACTTCCTTAGACTGGAACAAACCTTCAGAAATTCCCTGATGTGAAGTTTCCAATCCAATATCCCCATCTAGAAAAGAAAGACAAAATTGACACAACAGCTAATACTAGAATGAGACATAGTAATTTAGGGTGAACACAGACAAATGGAAGAGGCTAAATAAATATAAAAAACATAAATAAATAATATGTAATAAAATAAACACTTGTATTGTATTTACTATATAGTAAACAGTAGCATTTACATGTGCCAGGAATTGTTCTAAGTTCTGTATTAACTCTAATACATTATCACAACACTCTTTTATTGGTGTTACTGTTTTCCCAATTTAATAGGTGAGGAAACTGAGCCACAGAAAAGTAATTTTCTCACATCATATGTTTAATAGGTGAGAAAGAAGAGATTCAAACACAAGCAAATAAATTCCACTTATGTAGCAGAAAAAATTGACAAACTATGGCTTAAAAGAAGTATTCCTGAGTCTAGATCCTTACTAGCTTTTAACTTTATTTTTTTATTTTTTAAGGGTTTTTTTATTTTTATTTTTATTTTTCTTTATTT